TTTCTCCATCATCATCATCATCAATGGGTCCGGCACCGCGGCAATCTTTTGTCAAAACAATCTGCTCAAAGGTCCTGGAATCCTATTACAAACAAACCCATTTCTTATCATCTCCTCCCAATCTCAATCTTTACAAAGACACCGATTCTTTGACCCACGAACAGGCCATTACTGTGGTTGCTTCACTCGCTGATGAAGCGGATTAGATGGTGGCACTCAGTTTCTTTCACTGGGCGATCGAGTTTGCTAAGTTTCGTCATTTTACGAGGCTTTATATAATGGCCAGCCACGACGTTGATTACTAATCGGAATTTTAAGAGAGCCCATGAGGTTATGCAGTGTATGGTGAGGAGTTTTGCTGAAATTTGGAGATTGAAGGAGGCGTTTAGCATGGTTATTGTCTTATTGAGGTTTCAAATCATGGGCTGTCGTTGGTTACCGGCACTTTTAATTGTCTTATGGGGGTTGCTTGTGCAATGGGTTTGGTTGGGGTCGCGGAGACAATGTTTGAAGAAATATGTGAAACAGCAGTTTGTCCTTATTCTTGTAGTTATAAATTTTGATGGTTATTGCATATTGTAGAATGGGTAGAGTTAGAGAGGCGGTACGTGGTTGAGTGCAATGATTGAGAGAGCACTTCTTGTTGATAATGCTACATTAACATTGATTATCACTGCTCAGAAGGGTTTTGTGACAAGAAGATTGAGGCGAGCTTGAAACCGAATTTGATCAATTTCACGGCTTTGATTAATGAGTTGTGTAAGAAGGGTAGCATTAAGCAAGCGTTTGATTAATGGGTTGTGTAACAAGGGGAGAATGGAATGGTGGCTGTGGATTCCGGTCGGAGGAAAGGACGCGGCTGTTGGTTAGAGAGAGATAGAGGGTGGGGGTTGTGGGCAGGGGCGGATTCAGCCCCTTTGAGGGTAGGCTTGGGCCTACCCTCATATTTGAAAAAAAATTATTAATATACAAGCCATAAAAAATTATTAATTAACATATATATCCAGACTCACCTTCATATTTTTAAAAAATAAGAACTATTATACATACTGTATATATAGGTTTACAAAAAAAACTTGTAATATATATTTCAAGCCCACATCATTTTAAAAGTTTAAAACTCTCTCCAGTGTTTTTCTACACGGCTTTACTTGTTTTTTATGATTTTATCCCCAAATTCTTTACTCTCTCTTTCTCATGTTATTCGCTCTTAAAATTTTTGAAGACTGAAATTGTTAAATTGTCACTACTCAAGGTGCCATAATTAGCTCCGTTTTCTGTTTTATCGATTTTAGGTACGTGTATTGTTTATTTCAATTTAGTTTATTTAAGGATTGAATCATTTTTTTTTTCTTTTTGAGGTTTTTTATTCTAATTTGAGAGAAAAAAGATATTAATCTTGTGAGTTTATTTTATATTTTCTGTCTAAGAATGAATTTGCTTTTTTAAATTAAAACCTTAACTATATTTTAAAGGACGTTATTCTTCACCCTTTATCTACCACTTTCCTACATTTTAAATGTCACTGTTCAGTTGTTCAAAATTATTAAAAAAATTTGAGTTACTATCTATGTTTATACTAAAACAATTTCCCTTTTTTTATTAATTCATATTAAAAGTCAATGCAACGTTGACTTGATTTAAGTTTTGGTTGACTTTAGCTTAATTAAACTAGGTTTAATCAACGCTATGAAAATTTATATTATAATCTTTGAAAGCCAAAAATAAAAATATTAAAAGAAGGTTTTGTTCAAGTTTTACTCAACACTTTTACTCAAAATTTTGTTTCTCATATATTTATTCAAGTAAGAAAATATTGTGTTATTGTATATTCTTTTTTCCTCAGATTCTTAATATTATATTATTATTTTTTTATTAAGGTTTGATTTTTTTTAAAGTTTTCACTAGTTATTTGACAAATAATGGCGGAGCCGCGGAGGCCCTCCCTCGACAAAAATCCTGGATCCGCCACTGGTTGTGGGTAACAGTGGGAGAGAGGACCGACGATTGTGGAAGATGGAGGAAAAAGCGGCAGTGTGGGTGAGGAATCGGTAGAGAAAAGGCCATGTAAAGAAAGAAGCGATTGTTAGTTTGTTACTACTTACAAGGGGTGACTGGTTGGGTTAGATTTTTTTTTTTTTTTTAAATTAATATATACATTTATTATTTCACATAATTAATAATTCAACATTTTAATGGCCTAAATTTAACTAAGTGATTTAAATTCATAAGCCGATATTTTTTTTTTTTTTTTGAAGCCCAAATAATAGTATCTTTTACAAACTTACTGGGACAAATTGGTCATTTCACTAATTCACAACAACTTCATGTATACCAGTAATTTAATGTAAATGATGTGGTTATTTACGTAATTGATTGACTTACCATAATTAATTATAAAAACTATAATATCAAACTTTTAAGGGCATTTTAATCTTTTCTTGCCCTTGAGCTCGCAAAAATTCCTAATGGAAAATGATTTTTTGTCATTTCTAAACTTTTAGGATATCAAATTATCTTTACAACAAACCATGGGTGGGTGAATATCGTTTGCGCATAAAAGATGAGAGAAAGAGAGTTGAAAGTGAAGGGATCTAGAAAAAGCAAGGGTATTGTGGGATGCATAGGGATGGCAAATCTTGGGTTCAAGGCTGGGGATCAATAGACTCTCGCAAGTTTATGTTAGAATTTTCATTTTTTTTTTTTTTCTAGTTACGATGATTGACCATCCCTTGATACAACCCAAACTCAAGACCGAAACACTACCATGCGTCTCTGTTATAATTTGAGCTAAAAGAATTTTTAACTATCGTAAAATTTTGGTACTCATCCAACTTCTTCTCTTCTTTAGCATATGCGATACTAAACGTAACCAAATGGTATGAAAGCCTAATGTAGAATGAAGAAGTGATAGATGTTTGTTTTTAGCTTCATCTATACCTCTTTTAGTTAATTTATTATCGATATGATGAATTTATTTTACTAGAGGGAACTTTATTTTTTCAACATGACAATGATAAAACTTCAAGCAAAAATTAAAACTTGAGCAATTAAAAACATAGAATGATAATTACTGATAAGTTATTATAATTATAACTATTATTATTTAATAATAATAATAATAATTGTTGGGTTGAAAATAACAGGACCAGATCCGATTGCGAAAAAGGCCCAAAGAAAAGGGATTAGATCCAAATTAAAGGTTAAAGGCCTAGAGGCTTACTAACCAAAGAATTTGGGTCAATAGTCATTACCCAAATAAAAGCGAAGTGGAGACAAAAAGGATAGCATACAGAACAGGCATGCCCGCTGACTTAAAGAGTAATGCTAGCCTTACTCAGTCCCCCTACTCACTTCTCGTACTCACCTGTGAATAAGGCTAGCATTTTAACAAAGGTGATTAAGAGAAGTGAGTAGAGGGAGTGAGTAAGGCTAATATTACTCCTGACTTAAAAGAGGTAGTATGCACCCATGACTTTAAGTTTAGGAATTAAGGAAACCACCCATGACTGCCCACTGGTAGGCCGAGCGGATAAGGGCCAAATAGTTACGAATAACGAGTAAACAGGCACAGGTAAAAATTTTTCACAAGTAGGAAAATGCATGACTTGTGCCCGCCCGTGTGGGTATGGGTCGACCCGTAGGTCACCCGCAAAAAAATGTAAGTTTTTTCATTTATTTTACTAGGTTTTACTGTTACCAATGGCATCTTGAGCCCCCAAAGTCTTCTTTTTAATTCCTTGTTCTTCTATCACCAAAACAAGGAGACATGCAAAAGTGTAAAAAATTTTGAAGAAAAAATTGTCAACCAAGTCTTCAATTTTTCCCATGCTTGAGCATCAACACTTCAATGACTATGGCTTTGACCCTCAAACCGATTACTTTCAAGTCTAATTTACTTGTTTTCTTGGTCTGTCTTTTTCTTATTTGTTGCACAAGCTTTGTAGTGTATTGTTATTAACTCGTTTGTTGAAAACAAGGTGTTAGAAGAAGCGAGGAAGCAGAAGAAAGAGTCATCTGTGATAAAAGCTGCTGTTACGGTATTTCAAAATACCAAATTTTAATTGCTTCGGACTGTTATGTGATTTGGACTGTTATGTGTTAAAAACAATTGAAACTTTAAATGCTTTTGGACTGTTATGTGCAATTGATATTGAAGATTGCTTTTTTGTTGGACTGTTACGTAGTAAAGGCAATTGAATTGTTCCAAGTTATTGCAATTCAAAATGGGCAGTTATGGTTTTAAAAGCCATTGATTGACTTCGGTTACAGCAAGGGAAACGGGCAGAATTTCAAGTATAAAAAGGGGGTGGTTTTCTCATTTGAAAGACACAACTTTTCACTTGAAAATTCTTTGTTTCTCTGTGGTTTTTAACTTTCCAGCTCTCCTTCACCACTGTTATTTTTCTTATATTGTTCTAAATCTCTTTTAGAGTGTGCACTCTAACAGAATATTCGTCATTGTATCCCGGAGGTCAATCCGCTGTTGAGCCTTGTTGCACCACGAAGATTCTTCCAGTAGGGACGGAATTCTGATCTTAAGGACAGTGCTTTTGCACGCCTTGACGCTGCTGTCTTGCTGCTATTTTGTTGTTGTGTTCGTTGCTGTTTCACTGCTGTATTGCTGCTGTCTCTCTGCTGTTCTTGCTGCTGTTTTTCCTGCTTTTTCACTGCTGTTCTTTTGTTGTATCACTGCTGTATCTCTGCTGTTTTTCCTGCAGTTCTCTTGCAATTTTCTTGCTGTTTCACTGTTGTTCTTCTGCTGTTTCGTTACTGTTCTTTCACTGGTTTGCTGCTGATGTTTTGCTGCCAATTTTTTGAATTAAAATCAAACATCATCAAGATCCATAGACTTGTTGCGCTTCAAGCTTCAGAAACCCATTTCAAAAGAAGAGTCCAAGGTCAAGAATACCCTCCGCAATCCACAAGAAGGCCAAGAAATATTGGTGGAGAAATGCTATGTGAGGCTGCTGCAATACGACAGAGGTGAGAGTGAGAGTTGAGTGAGTTAGGTTTTTAATTTTTACATTTATATTTTTCAGCTCTTTTTTTTTTTTTTTTTTTAAATTAAGTGCAAGTAGCTGCAGTTATTACCCGACCCATCCATTTTTTTCACAGGCGAGCTGAGTACGGAGTGATTTTCAGACGGGTAATTAATGATGTTACCCATACCCGCTCGTTTGGACCGGGTACCCGTTTACTCATGGGTATTGGCAACACTTGGCTGGGTCTACCAAGCGTGCCTATATAAAGGAGAATAAGCCAAGGGAAAATGACAGGACGAAGAGACCAATTTCCTTCCATTCTATGTTAATTTCTAGTTCAATATCTATGTTAATTTCTAGTTCAATATTGTTAATTCCTCATTGTCAATATAATCAGTTCTCCATTCTTTGTACCTTCTTTAATTAGAGAGGCAATACAAAAACTACTTATCTTGGGGGTTACAAATTTGACTCCAATAACAATATTAACAATAATAATAATTATTATTATTACATCATCATCTCAAAACAGGACCCATCAAATTCAAAAACCGAGCAAAATAATCGTTAACATAAAGAATCGAATGCCTTTTACGTAGGCAACGGATAACTAATCTCATCATCCTCATCTCCTGAAATTGGCTAAAGTTAGACTTATGTTCAAACATGAACTGAGACACATTAACATTAGATATTTGCAGGTTTCGACTAGCAACAAGTTATATGATGCATTTCAAAGAGTAATTAGTTTAAGATATGAACCCCCAAACAATTACACTGAACAAAAAAAGAAAAGCTTCTTCACATGGCAACAATCAGTCAATCATTTTTCCAAGCAGTACTGATTCAACAGTCGGACGAGCTCAACATCTATGAAAAGAATCACACATACACAATTTTAAGAAACACAACTAAGTAGAAATAGAAAATACAAAAGGTTAACATTGACACAAAATCTGAATGAGTAAAAAGAAAATAAAATTATGAAGAGATGCCACACCAGATGAATGAGAACAAATTCTAAAAAGAGGTTTCGATTGAATTTCACTCTGCGTGCCTTAATTCAGAAAAAAATAAAATAAAACATCAAAACAGTGCTAATGAAGAACTGAACATTGAAAAAATAAATAAAATACAACCATTTCTTAAAGAACTCATGCTGGACACCAATTATAAATGATGCACTCCAGGACACACAAAAACACTCGGACAATAAATTGTCGACTGCCACATGATTATCAAACAATAAAAACTTGGTCCCTTCATTTCAATTTTTTTTTTTTTTTTTTTTTTTTTTTTTTTTTATAGGTGACAAAAGTTCATTATAAATAAATTACAAAACTTCTATGGGGTATCCTATAATCTAAATCATCCATGATTCAAACTTTCACATACAAACAGATTTAAAGATCTGTCATTATCATGCCTTCCCTCATATCATACATTGCCCCATGCACTGGTTGCTACGTGCACAATTATGTTCTTCATTTGGGTAGAAAAACAACAACTGGAAGCTAGAAATATACACCGGGAAAACGCAACCCCTTTGATACTAGATTGACCAAGTTTGGAAAAAGTTTAAAACTATTTTCATTCTGATACTTCTCTTTCTATAAAAGTAATTGGCATCAAATTCTCACAACCCCCCTTTAAATAAAAAAAATAGAACACACCAAGCAAACACCAAATATACATATACCCAGTTTTGCTAGCTAAAATCTAAATATTAAATCACAAATTCACAAGTTCAAACAAGTAAAAGGACTGAACACAAGCCATCCCCACGGCTCACAAATGACTTCAAGAATGCATTCTCGCAGGCCAAAACTTAGCCATTCTAATTATTGCAAATTGTTTCATTCTATTGCATAAACTTAACATTCACCTATAAACAAGAGCAGAACGGATGAAAAAGAAGATATATGTTGTTGATTTCAAATTTGAGAAGAAATGAAATAAATGAAATTGAATCAAGGAACAAAAAGTTTTTTTTTTTTTAAAAAAAGAAGTACAAGAAAAATACGAGAAAGACTTTTAAAATTTTGACTTGAGGAACAGTTGAATCGGATGTTTTCTTGCTAAGCCTGAGATGCTCTAAAATATGGAAAGATTATAATGGTATTTTTCAAATTTGAGAAATCAGGATATACGATTTTAGGTGAACATGTTCATGATTTCAAGTTGAAAGAGAAATAAGAAATAATCTCCATTGTTCTCTATTAGAGGATATAAAAGGAAAATGTTGAAAACAAAAGAAAGTTGTTCTCACCTTTCTTTTGCAAAATGTAAAAGAAAATTGATTATTTTTCCATTTTACACAGAAAAAAAAAATGAAGACAATAACCAAACATACATGTCATAAACTCCAAGGACTAAATCTGGCCAAAAGAAGGAAAATGAAAACAAAACCGAACAAGACCTACTATCTATTAAAATAAACAACTTAAGAATTACATTCAGACATTACAAAAGGAAAAATAAGCATAGTGTAAAACTTATACAATCAAGATGCATTCAATTTTTATTCAAATTCAGACGCATTCAATTTTCAAAAATAAATACCACGTTAGGGATGTAAATACCCCAGGCCTGGGCCGGACACACCTGGCCTTCAGGCCCGGGTTTGGTTACAATGAACAGGGTTTTTTTTTGAAATTTTACTTCATAGTTGGGGTCTGGATGTAACTTTTAGGGAGTTATTAAAACTTTTACAATAAAGAAGGCAGCTGAATATAATTTTTGGGGGGTTTTAAAAACTTTTTAGGGGGTTTTATGTAATTTTACACAGGGCTATATAAGTTTTACAAATCTTATATAATGTACCTGGCCCAGGCTTACTGGCTAAACCCGATCCCGGGGCAGGAGATTATACATACCCGGGCTGAGCCAAATACGAGCCAGGTTTTTTTCACATCCCTATACAACATTAGCTAAGTGCTTAGAATTTTATTTAATTAAAAGCCACCAATTCAACTGGTTGTGAGGTTGGGAACATCCAAATTTACACCAAAATTTTTATAGGTAGTTTAAACTATTGGATGAGGGCTTCTGGAATTATATTATAATCTTAAAATGAAAAAATGAAAAACCTTATGACAATATACAAATGTTTTTCTATAAATATATGTAACCTCATTATTCATAACTTAGGTGGGGTTTGTGACAATAACGATCATACCTATCCAGAAAGTCAACACACATGCACACATCGAGAAGGGGGCTTTTTATCATATCCCACAAGCTCCCAAATCTCTCAGGCAAAGCAAACTTGTGACATCATACTAGGCGAAATGTTCATTATACATGCAAAGCTTAACTCTATCTGTTCTACTAGGCAGAGATCCAACCTAAATAATAGCGGGAAGGCTACACCCTTGTTGATTTGAGAACCATTAACTAACTATTTAATTAAGATATAGTTTCTCTCCAGAATTTCTAAATTTTGACATCATTTTTTTTTTTTTTTTAATATTACTTGTGTTGAAATCACAGATAACTTGTAAACTTATCTACACTACTCCGATAACAAGTACTTTTTTACGTAACGTATGCCCATCTTTTATGCAACTGACCAATCAAGAGGAGTGTGTATGCCACACGTCATGACGTTGTATACTCTAATTGGTCGGTCACACGTAGGACAAGCATATTGAAGATGTTATTCTTATAATCGCTTGATTAATTACATGAAAATGAACTTTGAGTTGTGGTTCGGTAAGAGTTTCAATTTTTGTGAAGGGACACTATTATCATCTTGACAAAAGGCTTTATAAATTAACTATAACATTATCCATACCAATATTTACCAAAAAGAAAATATCAACATAGTAATGCTATCTAGACATTACTTTTACCTTAACTTCATACACAAAATATCAATTGACTTAATTCATGAACTTTTCAGAGAAACAGCAAAGGCACATTAATTCATCATTATGCAAAATCCATTGCTTAATACTCAATACATGAAACAAAAATCATAGAACTCAAATAACAAAATGGAACATATATGAAACGAGTAACTTACCACTTTATATGTTGCGGTGTAACCAGACATACAAAGTTGTGATGCTCCAAAAGGAAGTAAAGCAAGTAACTGAGATCTATAAAGAAGCAACATTTTGCTTCTTGCGTGGTAGTTTCTCTTCCTCATCATCTGATTTCTCACATGGCAATTTCTCCCAGATTGCAACTTTCAAAGGCTTCCTAGTCTCTGGAGAATACACCAAAGAGACCCCGCACTTTATCACCTTGCAACAATCTATGCGTTTATTATTTAAATCCTCAACATAAAATTGCATATACACCTCATTATAGGAAAGGTAATCCCATTTATTAATATTTGAAGAAAGCATATTGGAATCATATCCCAAAAATATGTGATCTGAGTCAATGTAAAGGGATTCAATATCATAGTACCAACCCTTCAAGGTGCCACGGTAAAGGACCGTCATGTCATTTTTACTTCTGAGCTTGCAATCATAGTGAACAACCAAACCATGGCCTTCGTCGTAATAGTTTCGAAACTCTACAACAACGCATATGATGAAACTAACAAAGTCAGGATTGAACCAACCTGATGGCAGCTGGATATTTATAGACGACCCCAAACTTATATAGTTAAACCACTGTGGGATTTCAGTTCCAGGGAAACAGATACAAACACTAGGTCTTGAGTAAAGTTCCTGTACAAAAAGAAAAATCATTCACTTTAACATCAAACTTCTTTTCAAAGAAATTAAATCATGTTAAATGAGCAAGAGTAAAGAGACATAATACTCTTTCAGGCTTACCATTGTCATATGCGGTCCTTTCTGTATAGCATCTTCAACAATATTTTTTACAGCACTTTGATCTAGTTTGAAACAATTGCTAAAGTTAACTCTCACTGATCTTCGATTAGTAGCTGGGAGAACTGATAAACCCGATTCCAATGCCGAGCAACCTGGTGCATCAAGAGATTCTAAACTACAAGGAAGCTCTGGTAAGGATTTAAGCAGCTCGCAATAGCCTAACTCAAGATAAGATAACTTAGAAAGGTGATTGATGCTTGTTGGAATGCTCTTGAAATTATTCCCACCTAGAAGTAAAATACTAAGTGAGGATAACTGGCTGAAAGTATTGGGTAACTCCATGAGACAACAATTAGCAAGATCTAGTTCCGTCAAATAACGCAAATTTACAATGGATGACGGTATTTCTTTTATAGCAAGTGTCTTTGCTTCAAGCACTTTCAATGCTTCTAAATCTCCTACATAGTCGGGCAATCTATCAAGTTCTGCACATCCTGATACATTAAGATGTTCAAGAGACTTCAGCTTAGAAATACTGCTTGGAAGACTCTTAAGACTTTTGCAATGCCTAAGATTCAAGATAGCAAGCTTATTGAGATGCCCAATAGATGAGGAAATTTCAAACAAACTTGTGCACCCTTCTAGAATCAAGTTCTGCAACTTTGGTGCGAATGAGAGATTTGGAATTTGGATTAGATGCTTGGAGTGGCTGAGGTTCATATCCCTTAAGTTATCAAAATGCTGTAAAAAAAAAAAGGAGAGTAATGGAAATAAATTAATTAGCAATTTGATTTTCATAATTAAAACAGAAGAATACCATGTAAAATATCATTAGCACTTTGATCTTTATAATTAAAACAGAAGAATACCATGTAAAATATCAACATATACCTGCACAACAGTCCAAAGTTGTTCAACATTGCTATAAGACATGTCAAGTGCAACAAGATTCTCTGGACGAAAATTTGACTCCAATGACTTCAATGGGCATCCATGCCAACAAAGGTACCTTAAGTTAGAGAAAACAGATTCAAGGCCTTGGGAAACATGCACCTTACTGATATTGTCCTCTTCAGAGTGTGAGTTATATAATTTCAGGAATCTCAGTTTACGCATCCTGGAGAAAGCATGACGATTTAAATGTATATCTCTTACTTTAGACATGTCCAAGCATATGCCTTCAATTGCTTTACTCCCCTAATATTCAAGAAAAGACGATAAGTTAGCAACATAAATTTAAACAATTAAGTGGTAAAGGTGTCAAATAATCTATTCTTTTCAACTTTTCTTTCATTATAATTAAATATAAGGCATGTAACTAAACCTACCCAAACCCTTTATTGCAAACTGATGTATTACTAGACCTGACATAAACAAAACAAGAATGTGAAGTTCATGCCTTCAACTCTTACCGTATTTTTTTTCAATACATTAAATATATCCACATGCTGCCACAAACGACTGCGTTTGCCAGGATCTATTGAGGATTCTCTCCGGATAATTTCTTGACCCATTTCTTGAAGCAAATCATGCATTGTTACCTTGTTGTTTGATACCATTAGAAGACACTTATCAATGAGAACACTAATTCCAATTTCTGCAAAGAAGCCACTTGCATTCAAGAACTTTATTACAAAATCTCTATTCTCCCATTTAAGGAAACATGCAATATCCAAGAATATATTCTTCTCATCATTATCTAGTCCATCATAACTTATTTTTAACACCTCATAGACATCATAACAAGAAGTTCTCTCTAGTGTATTTATTGCACTTAACCATACTGTATTTCTCTTGCCACGTAGAAAGGAACCCAACACTTTAAGACCTAATGGTATGCCTTTAGCATATTTTACAACCATATTCGACAGGTCATCATAAACAAAAGTTGGATGACTTTGTTGAAAGGCATACCAACTAAAAAGGCAAAGAGCTTCACGATGAGATAATGCCTTAAGCTCGTATATATTTTCCACTCCATAATTTGTAAGCAATTGTTTATCCCTTGTTGTTATAATAATTCGACTACCTAGACCCAAGCAATTAAGATCTCCAACTAAAATTTTTATTTGTTCAAAAGATGTCACATCATCGAAAACAATGAGAACCTTTCTATGGGAAAGCTTTTGTTTTATAAATGTGAATCCTATGTTGGAATGTTTCTCCTTTAATATTTCAGAGAAAAGTTCTTGTCGCAAGGGAGTTAACCCGTTAGGACTCTCTGATTCTTCCCTAACATTAAGAGCAAAGTAAGAATCATCAAATTGATCCAAAACTTCATCAAATACAGCTTTGGCAAGAGTTGTCTTGCCTATACCACTTCTTCCCCAAATTCCTACAATGCAAATATCTTTCGACCCAATACGTAGCAGAGAATTAATTCTTTTTATGCTTGGTTTCACTCCAATCAGGTCCTTGTCATCACTTGAGCACATATCATTCAATTTCTTCAAAGATAATTCAACAATTTCCGCTATAGCTTTAGATTCATCCCTAAAAATGTTGAAAACAAACAATATCAAAATATAAAATAAATCAAAAAGAAACAAACGTAGTTTTAATTCGAATAGGTGATTTCAATTAAGATTATACTTATTAACAATGTGGTATATAAGAACTTTAATTTCACAAAATCGGGAATACGAACTATAGAAACGAAAAGTATATGAAAGAGTAAATAGCAAAAAAAAAAAATAATAATAATAATAATTTAAAAGAATCAATTGTAAGTTAGCTTTTACCTATCCTTTACAACAAAGCCAGCTAGATTCCCCACTTCCCGCAAAGCATTCCGCCAACTCTTCTTCTTATGCTCATCAAATGCATCCCCAAATTTCCCAGATAGGTTCCTCACATCTGATGGATCTACATAACAGTAAACTGGTACCACAATCTGACCGTACATGTTCTTGCATTCAATAATCTCTACAAGTTCCTCAAGACACCATGCGGAAGATGCATAGCCTTCTGAGAATACAACAAAAGAAATTTTCGATTCTTTAATTTCATTGAAAAGAGGTTGCGAATATTCATCTCCTCTCTCAATTTGGTAATCACAGAAAGTTTCAATGTGACTGCGACACAAAGCTTCATAAAGATGACTGATAAATTTTTTATGGGTATCGACGCCCGTAAAACTTAGGTAAACATCATACTTCCCTGATGCACGAGAAGAAGAAGGACAATCAGAAGCCGCCATGAAGTTCATTCACTTAAAAGACTTCAATAATCAAAACAGCGGCATCCCTTCTTGAGAGATTCTTCAGGTAGAGAGATTCTTCAGATCGAGCTTCAAAGACTCTTCAAATAATCGAAGACGTTGTCAAGTTGAAAGATTCTTTTCAGATCGAGTCTCGGATCTTCAGATCAAGTCTTCGAGCTTCACATTTTTACCCTTACAAGCAAGACAATATATAGACAAGTTTCTGGAAGCTTAACTGCATTTTGCATTTTCCTGTGGACCATTACCATATATATAATATAAAATCAAAAATATATAATTGATTATCTAATTAATTATTAATATATCCATTTTGTAAAATTAAATATACAGCCGACCAAGTCAACCGTTTGTCATAGACAAGAGGGTTTTTATACCCACCCCAGGGAGATAAAAACAAGTCTTCGATGGCCCATGGGCCATGGTTTCTTAAAATAGGGAATTTTTTTGTCCATTTTAGGCTGCTGCGTACAGTTACGAGGTTACATTTGGTTCCAAGTGATATAAAAGTAATGATATAGGCTTTGCTTGATTGTATTTTGGGAATACTATTTTTAGTATTTTTAAAAAAGTTAAACAGTTAAATACTTAAAAACTTTTAATATTATTTAATTTTTTTAAACCTTTTAAATTTATTAATTTAATTAAATACCCCTAAATATTTTTAAAAAAATTATAAAAACACCCTAACAATCCACATTTATCCGATTTCAGCCACCACTATCGGAATCTGGTAGAATGGCGCACTATCGGCTAAATCTGGCCGGTAATGCTCACCGAAAAAGGCTAGATCTTTGGCCGTAACCAGTCGGTAACGACGGCCAACAGACGGTCGTCGTTGACCATCAACGATGACCGTTTGTTAGCCGTCGTTGACAAGCAAATACGGCCAAATCTGGCCGTCAAGGGCCAGATCTAGCCGATCTGGCCGGAAAAGGCCATATCGGCGCATGACCGGCAAGATCCAGCCGATCATGGGCCGATACGGCGACTCCGGCCACCCTCCGGCGGTGGTGGCCGGCTGTCCGTATTTGAGGGTGGGTTGGGGGTATTTTTGTTAACTTTTAATGTTTTATTATAGGGGGTATTTTGTAAAAAAATAAATATAGGGGGTATTTTATTAATTTATAAATCTTACATAGTAATACCCGCCCAATTCAACTTTTTTTTAACTTTTTTCAAAAAACTTTTCCCAAAAACACAAAATTGTGAACCAAACAGAGCCATAATCTTTGCTTAATTTTTAAAATTCTCTTATTTAGTTATCAAATAATAAAATACTACGTAATCTTTTATTGCAAATAGTATTTATAGTTAGTAATATTGGGAATAACTAGATTACCTTCTCAAGGGGTGTTAATATAAAATTACTAGGGTTATCTTAATTTTGACCCTATTTTGCCTTTAATCTTTTATCATTTCGGACACATTTGCCCTCATATATCTACCAAATAACAATTACTCAAACCCCTTACATTTGAGAATTTAGCCAAAACATCCCAAGCACAAAAAAGTTTAAAATTTGACAAAATACCCCCAATCATCCAAGACCACCACAAGCCGCTAGCCGCCACCATTAGCTGCCGACGAAAGTCGTCATATCGGTGCAAGATCGGCAAGATCTTCCTAGTTGTGTGCCAGTAAGGATGTTTCTGACCATCGATTTGTGATCCATGGCTAGAAACGTCCAGATCTAGCTATTTTATGGCCAAAGATGTGGCCATGAAATGCCATAGATCTTGCTGTGAAAAGGCCAGATCTTTGGCTGTGAAACTGTCAAAGATCTAGCCTTTTCACGATCACATCTTTGGCCGTGAGACGGTCATATTCACGACTAGATCTAGCCATTTTTTATCCATGATCCATGGTCGGAATAGGCCTTACCGACGTACAACCAACCAGATCTAGCCGATTGTGTGTCATTACAGGGGTTGTCGAGAGTGGCTTTGGGTGGATGGGGGTGATTTTGCTACAAATTAAAGTTTTATATAGTTGGGATATTTTAGCAAAATTTCAAATATAGGGGGTTAAAAAAATAATTTAAAAAACAATATTATAATAATAATAATAATAATATTATTATTATTATTTAAAAAGGAAGGCAATTTAGTAATCTACATAACATACCCACTTATTTATCCTCCAAATCAAATATATTATTATAACATACCCACCAATTTATTCTAACCAATTAAACACATTTCTCTAAAGATTCCTTAGTAATCTATCTTTCCAGTGATATAATATTCCCTGAATCAAACGCACCCTAATAGTCTATCTTTCAATTCGGTATATTTTGTCATTATAGACATCGAGGATGGTATTTTAATATTATTGTAGTAATCCTATTTTTGTTCCAATTTTACTCTTAATAAAAATTCAATCCCCCTTTTTGATATCAATAATAATTAAACATTTCAACTTGTTGAATGACTTCTTTAACCTCGTTAATTAATTATTTGGAACAAAATGTGTCGATACTATATATATATATAATATCTAGATATTATATATATATATATAATATCTAAATATTTTGTAATTGTTGCCAACCAAACACCCCACATGAATCAAACACAGTAATAATTTATACATATTAATCTTTAGGGGCCATTTGGATTAGGGGTATAAAAGATAACTAAGGTAATCTTCTTTTATTTTACAAGATTTTTGTGTTTGGTTCACAAGTAATAAAATATTGTGGTAATCTTTTATTGCAAATAGTGTTTACTGTTGGTAATGTGGGAGGTAATCTTATTACCTTATTAGAGGGTGTTATTAAACATTATTGAGGTAATATGAATTTTCTACCTATTTTGCCCTTAATTAAAAACCATTTTAGACACAATTTATCTCAAATGTCTACCAAATAACAATTTATCTAGCCCCCTTATATTTGAGAAATTAGCTAAAATACCCCAACTATAAAAAAGTTTAAAAGTTAACAAAATACCCCTAACCACCCAAGACCACTGCTGACATCAATTGCCGTATTGGTGCACAGCTAGCGGGATCTGGTCGGTTGTGCTCCCGTACCGAAAATGGCCAGATCTATGGTTGTTTGACTGTAAAGATGTGGCCGTGAAACGGCCACAGATCTAGCCTTTTCACGACCAAATTTGTGCCCATTTTACGGCCACATCTTTGGCTGTGAAATGGCCATAAATCTGGCTATTTTCTAGCCATGGATTTGGGATCCATGGCTATTTCTGACTTTGCCAGTGCACGGCCAGCCATACACGACCAGTCGTGTTCCATTTCATTGACTGTCGACGGCGGCCAGCGGTGGTGGCTGGCTGCCGGCAATGGCTTTGGGTAGGTGAAGGTGATTTTGCTACAAATTAAAGTTCTATATGGCTGGGTTGTTTTAGCAAAATTTCAAATGTAGGGGGTTAAAAAAATGATTCAAATAATAATAATAAAAAATACTATTATATTAATAGGCAATTTAATAATCTATATAAGATACTTACCCATTTACCTCCTAACCAAAATATATTATTCACCAATTTATTTGAATCAACCAAACACATTTTTTAAGCATTCCTAGTAATCTTCAAGGTGATCTTTCTTTCCGTTAATTATAATATATCCTTATAATAGAATATTATATGATTCAAACGCCCCCTTAAGGTTATCAATCTCAGTGGTATTCCTATATTTTTGTTAATAAAACATTGTCCGAACCAAATGTCCCTATATACACACACACACACCCCACACGAATCAAACACAATAATAATTTATACCCATTTATCTTTACAATTATCTATCTGAGTGGTATTCTTATATTTTTGTTAATAAAACATTGTTGGAACCAAATGTTCCCAAGGGCAACTAATGATTTAGGGAGGTACATAATATATTTGCAAAATCTTGAGGGGCTTTAAAACTTCCTTATCTCATTGTTGGTAAATTATAAAAACCCCAGATAAGAACAATAAAGCACGTCAAATAATACCTCTAATGAACAAATGATTGACAACAGTTGATCTAGGGTTTTTTTCATGTTGTTTTGTAACTACAGAAACTACCAAAAACACCCATTGACGCTAGTTTTGCTGATTTTCATCTGCATGTAAAATATGAAATGGCAATAAACATTTATAAAATAGCATTTAGCATTGTTGATGCTTGATTTTGACACCAACGACTCGTATGTGTAAAGTGCTAAGTTATTCTTAAAAATTACACATGAATGATTCATGAGAAGTGTTTAGGGTGCTGAGATTATATATGTTTGTAGAAACATAAATAAAAGATTGACAAGAGAGGTTTTTAAAGTGATTCAGATATTTAAAGTGAATTCTACATCCATTGTTATTTTATTATTCTCTGACTATTCCTTTGATATTGTCTGTAAGATGTAAAAAAATGGAGAAAAGCTTTGTTTACAGAAAAAATTAATAAAGTTCAAATCTATGCCCAGCTCTCATATGCCCAGTCCCCCTTTTTGTGAAGAGAAGTGCCCATTTATACCTTTGAAGTCAATGTAATGAGTGATTTTATAAGTTGCTTTGACACATGCATGGGGATCACTCCTTAATCCTTATCTTATAATGAGATAGGATTGATATAAAATATTTATTAGAGACAGTTTGGGTTTTGACCGCTAATAAACTTTGTCTTTTAGGTGCTTGTAAAGCTCTAATTGGTGTTGTTAACATCAATGTGTATTTTTAGCACAACAAACATTATATATATATATATATATATATCTATATAATATATATTATATATAATATATATATATTGTGTATTTTTAGCACAACAACATAATATATTATATATAATATATTATATATATATATTATATATATGTTATATAAAACGCAATTGAAATTGGAACAATGTAACTTTTTATTTCTTTAAATAATCGAACAAATCTCTTTATGATAATATCGAGGCAAGCTTTAACCAAGCATTTAAAAATACAATAATAAATAAGATTAAATTGCAGTAACTATTTTGAATTGCAAAATAATCTTTTTCGGCAACTCAGATGCTTCAATCTCTAAGTTGTGAGGAAACCTCGATACTATTTAACAGAGTCTTTGGGGATACGGGTTACACTAACATTGTTATCAGCATAATAATCAAGACCAAATTTTGCACTATCATCATATAAACTCCAATAGAAATATCATTTCACATTTGCTCCTCTCCTGCATTAGTAATGGACAACATTAAGTATTTATGTGAATAAATAAAACTTAGAATTAGTTGTATATATTAATCTACTTACTTGGTTGCACTATGGACGGAATACAAATGTTCACGAATAAAATCAATCCGAAATTGATCTTTTAATATAACATCAAGGGATAGGTCCGGATTATTGGGAATACCTAAATAGAAAAGGACACAAAAACATATTGTTAATGTTGTTTTAATGTTTTATCATAATAAATTTAATCACATAAAATTAAATACTTTAGAATCCAATATATAATTACTAGAGCTCCATTTACGATTCTCAGTAATGCAGATCTGGCGGTGGTGGTTGGAATCTGGCACTGCGGGTGGTGGGGGTGCTTTTGTTATTTTATAAAATTTTTATATATTAGGATGTTTAGTTAAATTAGCAAACCTAGGGGGTTTTTTTTGAAATTTTTAAATTTATAAAAAACTAAAATATCAAACTTTCAAGGGCATTATAGTCTTTTCACCATTACCAAACAAAAATCACTAATAGGCTAATAGCACATGACAGAAGGTACCTATTTGTCATTTCAAAACTTTTTGGATACCAATTCGTCGTTACGGCAAACCTTGGGTATTTGTAAGTCATTCAGCCTAAATAAAAATGTATCCACCCGCTCCTTCACCCTAAAAATGTGAAGAAGTGCTGATTAGTACAAAAAAAAAAAAAAAAAAAAAAAAAAATTAAAAATTAAAAACTAAAAAATAAAAAATAAAAATGGTTATTAATTAGAAATAATAATATAATTTCATATCCACATATATACCTGTGGACCAATAGGAACTCCATTTTTCTCTCCGATGCCACAATTACACAATATAAAGAAAATAAATCATCCAATTTCTTGAAATTTTTAGATAAATATAATTATTTGAATATAAAGTAAAGTCATTTTTATAATTTAAACTTACTTGTAGTATTAACGAACTGGTCAAGGGCCTCACTGCCAACAGTCATATTGACTAGTGTCGGGGCAATTAAATTTATTGGAATGTTTTTAGCATAGCGACTTGTGTTAAAATTGATTCCGATAAAATCATAAGATTTTTTAATACCATCTTTTTCTCTTCATCGGTGAAGCTTGGTAGCCTATCCCTTACAATTTCTTTCATAATTTTTGGATAATCTCCATATACAAGTGGGTCCATATACCATCCCCATTCAAAGTCCATTCCTCTTTTGGCAGCTTGTTTATCTTCCAATGAATCTGAAAATGGCACATAATATGGTCCTATAATCATAATCCCAATTGTACCCCTTGTTTTGTCTGGAAATGGTCTTTGTAGAGCCTAGCAGCAGGTGCATGGGCAAGTAGAAGGTTGTGAGACACATTATAAGGTTCTATAGATGAATTTCCTTCTTGACATCTTGTTCTATCTGAGCATCTATAAAATTGACCCAATTCCGTATCAAAGCTGAATCTTGCCAAAAAAAAAAAAAAAAAAAATTGGCTCAACCATTATAATCCAATACTATACTCTAGCTCCAAATGCTTTGAAACAAATTTCAGCAAAGTTTTTGAAATCATCCACTTGTATATGGTACCAAAGAGCAATGGACTCTGAATTGGGATGGTATATGGACCCACTTGTATATGGAGATTATCCAAAAATTATGAAAGAAATTGCAAGGGATAGGCTACCAAGCTTCATCGATGAAGAGAAAAAGATGGTTAAAAAATCTTATGATTTCATCGGAATCACTTTTTATACAAGTCGCTACGCTGAGAACATTCCAATAAATTTAGCTGTCCCACCACGAGTCAATATGATTGTTGGCAGTGAGGCGCTTGACCAATTCGGTAATACTACAGGTAAGTATTTAATTATAAAAATCTTATTATTTTATATTCAAATAATTATATTTATCTCAAATTTTCAAGAAATTCGATGATTTACATTCTTTGTATTGTATGATTGTGGCAGCGGAGAGAAACGGAGTTCCTATTGGTCCACAAGTATGCATATGGATATGAAATATATATTGATTTCTAATTAATAACCCTCTTTAATTCTAGTAATTTGTCTTGTGTGCGGGCTACTTCTTCAGATTTTCCGGCCTAAGGGGTTGGATTCATTTTTGTTTATCCAAAAGGGCTCGAAATACTTCTAATTTATATCAAGTAAAAATATCAAAACCCTCCAATCTATATTACTAAGAATAGTACATGGAGCTTTTGTTATTAGATATTGGTTCTATAGTACTTAATTTATGCAATTAAAATTTGTTCTGATAAATTATTTAGACAATGCTAACAATATATATATATATTAATTTTTTGAGTAGGTATTACGATAATTCAGACGTACCCTTGATGTTGCTCTTACATATCAAATTCTAAGTTTTATATTTGTTCTTATAAATGCTTATTGATGTCCATTACTGATGCAGGCCAGGAGCGAATGTTAAAGGGTATTTCTATTGGAGTTTATATGATGATAGTGCAAAATTTGGACTTTATTAATATGCTGATACAAATGGTAGCATAACCCATATCCCCCCAGACTTTGCTAAATGGTACAAAGATTTCCTCACAACATAGAGATTAAAGCTTATGGATTATTTTGTTTCGTTATTATCAGACAATGATTTGTTTGATTGTTTAGAGAAATAAAGATTATTTCCAACTTATTATTAATATTTTAAAACAATACGAATACACAACTCTCAATAAATTCTATAACATTTTCACTACACCAAACAATTATTGGGCTGAATAAAACCAGAAGAAGATCCATCAGCATGGCTACATGAAGCTTCAGCTGGTTCATTCTTATAAGTGAGCTTTACATCTTCCAAGCTTATCCCAGAACATGGATTCTCCAGGCTGCAATCAAACTTCACCGCAACTTTGGTTGCTGATGTTCCATGAATATCTTGGTATGTCACATCATTTATTTTCACCCGTGAAGCCTGTTACATAATCCAAGTACACAGAAGGGTAAAGAGTTATAAGATTATACATTACAAAATATTCTCAGGTTGAAACTTTAAATTTAGGCTTAAAATACAGACAGTTATGTGAAGTGAGAAACAGATAATGAAGACGTAAGTCTGCGTTAGAGAATAACTTTATTATATATAGTTTATATTCGTAATTAAATGTAGCGTTCATACCTGCCAGGGCAACTTTTGTTGTCAGGGCAGTAATTTTGATCGATAACGATAGGATTCTGGACATTGTTCATGGTGGCATGTTGAAAAAGAATGTTCCTAGCAAAACCACTGCTAGGTCTCCCCCAAGATTTTATCCTAACGCCATTTTGAGTGCCTGAAAATGTAACAGTTTTTGCTGTCACATTTTGTACTCCAGCCTCTTCTTGTTCCTTGCCAAGACTACCAATGCTACAATAAGATCATAACATTACAAATTTAGTACCAGATATACAAACAATAATGCTAAAAGCAGTTAGAAATAATCATTTCAGGATGTCTTGTTTTGACAATAACTTTCACCTGATCCCATGGCCAGGGCCACATGCAACATTCTCAATCCACAAATTGGTAGTACCAGGGCCAATCGACACACAATCATCACCAGTGCCAATCCTGGAGTTCAAGATTGTGACGCTGCTCGATGATTGCACATGAATTCCATCGGTGTTAGGACTATCGCCTGAGGCTGAAATCTTAACCCCTTGTGCTTTCACATTGTTGCATTCGTTGATAACAATATGAAACTTCTGGCTATTTAACGATGTTAATCCATTTCTCATAATATTATTGGAGTTGGTAAACTCTAGCGTCTGCACATCAAACACAAGAATAAAAACTTGTTATGAAAATAAATTTACCGAAAAATTCTCTGCAGCAACTCTAGTACTTAAACATCAATCTTTAAACTTACCGTGGCGCCACTGGGGCACCTTTCGCCTGTCTTTATACAAGTCCACAAGCCAGCACCTTGGCCATCAAGAGTGCCACCATTAATGGAAACTCCATTAACATGCTCAAAGACTAACCAGTTATCAGCATTTCCAATAACGTTATAATCTGCTGGAGCCACAAGAGTGCCATCAATACGTAAGGTAATATCATTGTTCTTGCATTGGCCTTTAAACTCAACTTTGCCTAGCAAGAACCTCCCTTGTGGCACATAAACGGTGGCGGCCTCAGTGGAGCCACAGGCTTTAGTCCATGCATCAAGAAAGGCTTGTGTTGAGTCAGTTTTGGCATCGAGTTTAGCTCCTAAGCTGACCACATTGTAACTCACAGGACTCCCTAAAGATGAAGTAATGAAGAGGATTAAACTAAGTAGAAAATGACAGAATTCATTGGTTTTGCCATTTCTTCTTTGATGATTATAAGATAGAAGGATAGAGAATTTGAGGATTTGAAGGTTTTCTGATGGAGTTGAAATGTTTTAGTTCATGGCGTATTTATAAGAGTGCGTGTTGTCCATTTTCAACATATACACATGGCAATTTGTTGAACAGTGTATTGTTGCTTGACAAAATAAATTTCATTAACCACGGGCAATTTAATTCATTGGAAGGTTAGATTACTTCCATTTGAATAGGTTAATTTTTCAACCATAGGCATGTGGACATGGATATGGATTCACATATAACATGCAAATGAATGTGGTTTTACATTATGAATAATCTTTTATCATGTCAAAAATATTTTAATTGTTTAAAATATTTTGATGATGAGAAAACATTTGAAATACTTCTTATAGCAATATTCCACTGTTCAACAATATAGGATCCTCAATTTTTGGGATTATATAAGTTTATAAACATAATTTTTTATAACATTCTCACATATAAGACATAAGAAACTTTTCAAAACATAGATAAGACTTTGCTCTGGAATATTGAAAGTTTCTGGAGGTTGCGTTACCTTTGATCCGAGAAGGGAAGGTTGTTTATCTTGAAGACATTGATGGAGGTCTTGAAAATGCTTCTGCTGCTCTTGCAGGTTTATTTAATGGACACAATATTGGGAAACAAGTAGTTCTAGTTTCCAGGGAGTAATATAATTCAAGCCTTCTTTTAATGTTGTAGAACAAAAAGAATATTTCCAGGGAGTAATATTCTTTTTGTTTTTATTTTTAAGTTTTTGAATAAGTAATACTTTAATTTCAACCATAGGCATGTGGACATAGGTTTACATATAACATGCAAATGAATGTGGTTTTACATTATGAATAATCTTTCAACATGTTGGTGTAAAAAATCAACAGAATTTTTAACTTAAAAATATTTTAATTATTCAAAAATTTTGATGATGAGAAAATATTTGAAATACTTCTTATAACTATTCACGGAAATAGTATTTGGTGTTTTTAGTGGAAAAACAATTATCAATTAGCAAATTTTTTTCCACTGTTCAACAATAAACATAATTTTTTAATATAAGACATAATAAACTTTTCATAATATAGATAAGACAAAACATAGCATAATCAAAACACATAAATATAAATTTTATTATTTTTTATTATAAATTTGAAGCATTATCAAAAACATAGCACAATGTAGAATCCTTAATTTTTTTGGGATTATACTGTACTACAGACTTGTTCATGTAGGAAAAATATTGTTAAATATAGGTTTGATAAACTACATCAAATATAATGATACGAGATAAACACATGCTATGAGAGAATGATTTTTCTCGTAAGCATGTTTAGAAGTTGTTATATCAATACGTGAGTTGTTGTCAAGGTAATAGATTTATCCGAGAATATATTGGTGAGTATCAATGGTTGTTACACCACATTAACTATAATAAACATCCATATCTAAAAACTTTACTGGTTGGAATTTTTGGCCTGGGATTATAATCTTGACGTAAAATTGTGATTTACCCCGATGAAGAGAGGTTTGATTAAGATTTGTAAGCTTATGATTTTCCGGAAGTAACCAAAAATCAAGAATCGTCACTGCTTACTCATTTAATTGAGATTAATAAACAACAATCGTTCAACTGTATAAATACACTTGATGGTCATGAGCTAGCAACAAAAATCAAGAATATTTTTGAGTTGTGAAAAATTAAAGCAAAAACAAGCAATAATGGCCAGTGGTGGTGAAGTGGTGAACAACAAGCAAGTGATATTGAAGCAGTTTGTCAATGGAAATCCAAGGGAATCAGACATGGTGGTGAAAACAAGTTCAATATCATTGAAAGTGGAATCAGGTTCAAATCCTATTGTTGTGAAGAAACTCGTTTGTCTTGTATGTAAATGAAAGTTTGTCCAGTAAAATTTATTTTTAAATATATTTTAGTGTTAAACAATTAGAATATCGCTTGGACTTAATTGAATAAATATTGTTCACCTTAATCCTAACTTTTATGAATTTTTTTTAAGGTTTATAAAAGTGTCATTTACTGAGAACATGTTTATTTATGAACACCACATCTTATAGCCAATTTCAGGGTGGTATATGATACGACAATATCTATTTGGTTGGGTTTAGATTATTATAAATTCATTCTTATATGTTGTTAGTTAATGCTTGCATAGAATTTAATCTATTTTACTTATTTGAACGACTTTTGCATTTCGTCCTAACTTTTATACATCTAAAGAATGCTTTTGCTTATACTATGTGGTTATTATATCTTCATGTTTTGTTTTTTGAAAGCAAGGCTTGGTAATTTTAGTTCGATCAAAATATAAGCTTATAAACATAATTTTTATAACATTCTCACATATAATACATAATAAACTTTTCATAACATAGATAAGACAAAATAGAGGTGGGAATTAAGCTTGGACCCAAAAAGCCCAGCCCAAAAAATCAGTCCTATAAGGATTGTTACTAGGACCGGACCAGGCCCAAGGGAGGAGGGCCCGAGCCCAGGGCCAGTCCGTCCTCCACCCCCTTCCTCAATTTCCTTTTAACCTTGGTAAAATGTTCAAAACTTCCATTTTTAATATAAAATTGACAAAAAGATTTTACTAAAAAAAGTATCCAAACCCATAAGACCGGTCCTATAGGCCCATGATAAATCTCATGGGCCCAGAACCGGTCCTGATTATTTGGGCCCAGGCCTTTCCCACCTTTAAGACAAAACATAGTAAAAATGACCGAGTGCTATCATACTTGCATTAAATATAGTTAAAATGGGCTGGCCCGGTAGTGTTGCCCTTTCATAGGCCTTTAACTGGGCTTTGAAATGAGCTCTGTAGAAAAGTCCAAAACCATTCTTGGAGAATTTCTATTACATTGTGCCAACACAGCAATGAATATTGAAGAAAAATCCAGTCTACAAGCAAGGATGATCGTCATCGATCCCACAAGCAAACGTAAACAAGAACCTAGAAGTGTCTTCCACTGTTTCACAATATAATCGTCATTGCTGACTCAAATCACTTGAATTTAAACGAGATATACATCAATCATGCAACTATAAATACAAATCATAATTTTCATGCTGCAGAACCAAGAAAAAGTAATGGCTAGTGGTGGTGAAGTGATGAAGAACAAGCAAGTCATATTGAAGCACTTTATTGATGGAGCTCCAAAAGAATCTGACATGGTGGTGAAGACGAGTTCAATATCTTTGAAAGTAGAGCCAGGTTCAAATGCTGTTGTTGTGAAGAATCTTTACTTGTCTTGTGATCCTTACATAGGGAGCCGCATGAAGAAGTTCGAACATCCTGATTTCAGTTCTTTCAAACCCGGCTCTGTAAGCATTGTTTAAATATATTTGACTCAAATATTATATTAAGTAATTACAGAATCCGAAAAGTCGAAGCTGTTAGGAAAAATGTTTTTATTTTGTTTTGTTTTGTTTCTTATGCAAGCTTTCTGATGCATTTAAGTTGATGGTGGAAATTATATGCAGCCATTGGAAGGGTTTGGAGTGGCTAAAGTTGTGGATTCAGGGAATCCGGGTTTTAAGAAGGGGGATTTGGTTTGGGGGACTGTTGGATGGGAATAGTACAGTGTTATTGAGAATTCTGAAAAACTCTTCAAAATCCATCATATTGATGTTCCCTTGTCCTACTATACTGGAATTCTTGGTGAGTTCTGTTTCCTCTCTTGATGATCTCAAGGTCTCTCTGAATATTTGCATGCAATTACTATATTATTTTCTGTTCTGTTTATATGGATTTTCCCAGGTTCACACTCCTTTCAGAATATTAATTTGTTGATAATCTCGAGGATAGTATTAATTCTAGTTTGAAGCAATATGAATTGATAAGATCACCTATTTGTGTTTGTGTTTTGTTTTGTTTTGTTTATAGGTATGCCTGGTATCACTGCTTGGGCTGGTTTCTATGAAGTAGCTGCTCCTAAGAAAGGAGAATATGTCTTTGTTTCAGCGGCAGCAGGTGCAGTTGGTCAGCTTGTTGGGCAATTTGCAAAATTAATGGGCTGCTACGTTGTTGGGAGTGCTGGAAGTAAAGAAAAGGTGAGCAAATTCCTCTTGGAATACCTCATTATCGCATCTCACATCAGCAGTAAATAATTCTGAGATTCAGTTTTTAATGCTTCAGTCCGCTTGCCTAAGTAGGTACGTGTAAAGTCCATGTTATCCAATTTGTGGTTATAATTAATCTTTTCTCGTACAAATATTTTAGGTTGAAATTTTGAAGAACAAGTTGGGGTTTGATGATGCTTTCAACTACAAGGAGGAGAATGACTTGGATGCAGCTTTGAAAAGGTGAAGTTTCAGGAAAAGAAGAGTGGAAGCAGGGGCCATTCCCCCCTCAAACTGAAAAAATTCTTAGAATGGAAACTCATTGGACATTTCCATTTTTTTTATTTTTTTTTATTTTTTGCAGGTGCTTTCCTGAGGGCATTGACATTTACTTTGACAACGTAGGAGGAAAAATGCTGGATGCAGTGCTTCTAAACATGAGACTCAAGGGTCGAATTGCGGTGTGTGGAATGATCTCACAGTACAATCTTAGCCAGCATGAAGGTGTGCACAATTTGATGAACACTCTTATAAAGCGGATTCGCATGGAAGGATTCTTAGTCTTCGATTACTTTCCTCAATATTCAAAGTTCCTGGAAGTTGTTTTGCCTTTGATCCGAGAAGGAAAAATTGTTTATCTTGAAGACATTACTGAAGGCCTTGAAAATGCACCTGCTGCTCTTGTTGGTCTATACAGTGGACGTAATATTGGGAAACAAGTAGTTTTAGTTGCTAGGGAGTAATTGAAGCGTTGTCTTGTATATGCTGTTGCCACTCTTCTAATAAATAAAAATCGTAATCTATTTTTATCAAAACGAATTAGTTCTAAAACACAATCAAATTCAAATTCAAATTGAATTGGAACAACATTTATTATTATAGACAGACATGAACCTGTACGAAAGGGATGCCGCTGGCGCTAAGTCTAAGCTAATTAATTTCATTTCTGGTATTTTTCTTTCTCATAATCAACATCAGGATCATTGCTTCCATTGTTATCTTCTTCCCCTTTTTCAAGTGTATCTGAGGCACACGGTACGATATGAAAATAGTTATAACAGAAACTGCAGAAAAAGCATAACGAATTGTGATACCCCTTTTGAATGAATCCATGAATTTCCATAGCTCGTCAAGTTCTTTGCAGGATATTAGATTAGAGCCCCTCCAGAAAGTTCCTTGTTAAAGGCGTAGCCATCTCCTGTTAAACTGATATGGACAAAGTGAGGCACTGGTCCAGGTAAGTGATCAAGAGAAACAGTGAACTTGCTGATGTGTCGAAGCTGGCCAAGTTTCCCTGGAATTCGACCTGTAAAACGGTTGTTGTTGAGTGCAAGCTCTTTCAGATTAGTGCAGAGAAATATTTTTTATGGGATTTTACCCGAAAATCTGTTGTTGGAGAGGTCAAGTGCTGAGAGAAATGTTAAACTTACCCAGATTTGAACTGGGACCAAGCCAAAAAGGTGGCTCCCTGAAAGGTCTAAACTTACCAAGGTTATGCAATTCTGAATTCCTCGAGGGAACTCTCTCTTGAGCCCCATATCTGTGAGGTTAATACTGAGTCTGAATAACCTGACGTCATCTTCGCCCAACAAGCCACCCGCTCATATTGACAGAAGGAACCTGGTGTAATGTCGCGAAAGGTCCATGAAGATAAGCCATTGAAAGTATCTTCTAAAGAATCTTTATAGAACGAAGGCAGTACAAATCGAGGGTTAGGCCATTGCTAAAGCTGGAAGTACTAGCAAGATAGCAGACAGAGTAGAGAACAAGAACAAAAAACTGTTTCACTAAATGCCATTTGCTTATGTTTACAAAGAATATACAGAAATTGACTGAATTGACAAATGATGCTTATTCCTAACCTGCAAAGAACATACCGAAATTAATTTGGAAAACAAGCATAAAGCGAGAGCCATTTTCTGCATTTCCAAACCAATGTGCTGACATAAGGATAGTTTGGGTTGAAGGGATTTACAATTTCTGTGGCTTTTAATATCCAATAGTTCAGGAGACTTCACATTGAAAAACAGAGGACTGATGTGGGCTAGAAAGAAAGATGACGGAGAGAGCTTAATACGTTAGATTTGTCAGACCACTATTAGATAATATTATATTTAGGGTATTTTTGTACTTTTCCTTACTGATTACTG